TATCTAATCTATCTGTTAAATCTGCCAAGAGGCACTACAGCGGAGAATCAATTCTTTCACATGGTAAATAAATCTGGCTTTTCTAACTGTGAGGAAATGTGGAAATCTAGTGGGTCCTGCAGCCATGACCATATCATTTTTTTTTTGCATAAATCCATTCTGTTCGTTTTCACCATTTATTAATACATTGGGCATCACTGAGCTTGCATGCATGTGTGTCTCAGAGGGACCTGCAAAGAAATTCTCAAACACACCAGAACCAATTACAGTGTGCAGACAGCTGCCTCTGACAAAAAGTGAGCTTAGCCACCACTGTTGTAATGTCAGGTCTTGAATGAGGGATCAATCGCTTCTGAAAAAGCCTCATCCAGTGGCTTCTTATACAGACACCTGCAGGACAACAGATAATACATACTGATCATGGGATTGGTGGCGTGCTTTTGACACAGCTAATAAGTCCATTACTCATCAGACAAGCTCAGATTCTCAGGCCTCTTAGCAGCTCCATTATGAGCAGAATGACAGAAGTCAGCCCTACAATCGGAAGAGGGTGTGCCCAGAGACAAGTACTGGAAGAGGAACAGGCTTCAGAGAGTAAACTAGGGTTCTTAGCACTCAGCCTCAGGCATGTAACTCAGATTTAAGAATGAGTTAGCGTGTCAAGATAGCGTGTCTCGCAGCAGACCACGCCTGCACCTGTCAGGTGTTCTGTGGCATGCCTGCTTTTCGTGCAGGAGATCATGTGTGCGTGCGTTGCTGCATGCTAGATAGTAAGACATGTTTATAAGCGTGTGCGCTCCCTCTTCTTGTTGCACGCAGCTGCATATCCTGGCGATGATGGACACCTGTGATTTACCTAACGCCTGCAATGGCTGCAGATCCCTGGAAACACCTAAATATTTGTTCAGCGCAGCCGTTCACCTACTGGGCCAGGCAACTTCCTCGCCCTTTTGCTGACAAATTAAATCTGGTTACATAAACTGTAACATTTCTGTCACCTGCACCTATCACAATTACCTGTGCCTGTGGGTTTGAGTCATGGACTCAGACTGAGGCTGTTCCAACCTGTGCTGTGATTGAGTTACATTTTTGTGGGTCAAAAATTTCACATTACATTATCCATGCTTAAAGCAAAAATCAATTATGTAGGTAATATCTGTAGACGTTACAACAACAAGTGAACCCCCAAAATGTAGATAATAGATACTCCTGCATATAATCTATAAAAATCAGGTGAAGATTCTCCAAAAGCCTGAGTGGGTCTCTTCTGGATGATCCACTGTCTTCCCACAATCCAAACCCAAGATTAGGGAAAAGGTTAAAATATAATATCCCTGTGGTCATGATTGTCTTTTCTCTGTGTGTCAGGCCTCTGATGAATGGTGACTTGACCTCAGTGTGCCCCACACATCCGTGCTATTTCCAAGAAAGATCAGCGCAGTTTGTTCTTATCTTTGACATAAGTACGTGCCTATTCTTTCTCTTACTAAGTGGTTTCTTCATGGATTACACAGAAGAGATAAATGATAAACTTGCATCTATGCTGGCTCTGAATCCTGCATTCATTCTGAAAGCTATGTCTGTACATTTGTGAAGGAAGCTTACTCATGCTTCTTTTGAAGTGAATTACAAAATGAAAATATGGTGAAAAGACAGTAGTGCTCAGGCGATGAATGCACTTTCCATATTACTGGAAGATGAAACGAGAAGTGCGGGGAAGTTTGAGAGAACCCACATATAATTAATTCCATGAAGTTTCTCATGTCATTGTAAGAATTTAGATTAGAACTGAAATGAAGAAATGTGGTCAAACACCTTTCGATCTAAGCATGGTGAAGATTATTGAAGTATTAATAATGAAGTGAATAATGGTGAGAATAATTTGGCTGTAATATAGCAACTGGTGTACTCTGTGAATAAATACATGTGTTGATCCTCCATGTTAAATGATGTCAGTCAATGAGAAGAAGATCCAACAGCCATCACTTCCATTGTCATGAGTATGATTATGTGCTTAGACATACCAATCTGTGCATGTTATAGCCCACTTACTACAGATTACACACAGCTTACTCTCACATTAACATCTAACAAAGCATTAGATGCAAAGCCTTGCATATCATATTTAATAGTGTGTTTATGTAATTACTTTTGGGGCATTTCTTATATCAATAGTAGCAGGAAACCACATTTTTGAATGTATTTTTCCTCCCTTCAAGGCAGGACACTCATCCTCCAGAGGTCTGAGGCAGGTAATTAGTTCATGCAGCTGAAAGTTGGACTGATTTGAAAATCTTGAAATAGATTACTTTGCTAAAATGGCATAACTTTAAATGACATTCACTATGATGGACTGATTTTATTCAGTGTTGTAATGACCAGCTGTCAATGACTGCCAGGAATGTATAGAATCAATCAATAAATTTAGAAATTTGCGTGATTCATAATACGTTGTTTGAATTTGCAAAAGTATTAATGCAACTGGGACATAGTGAGGTGGAGACTGACTCTGACTCATTGTGACCTATTAATTTGTTAGAAAACTTCTTCTAATTCTGATTCTGCATTGAAGGCAGCCAAAAAAAAGCAGATCAACAGAAGAGCTCATAATAACTGCATTAATTGATGTGAATGTGCACTTAAATACACACCCTTGCATTTCCAAAAAACACATAAAATATTGTGTGTACGTGACTCACCTTACGTACACACCAACTTGCAGACATGCACACTCCCCCGCTGTCATTCCTTCATGCACAAACACACACACACACACACACACACACGCACACACACACACGCACACACACACACACACACACACACACACACACACACACACACACACACACACACACACACACACACACACACACACACACACACAAAGGCCCAGACTGTGTCTGAAGTGACAGCCCTGTCGTGCATGAGGTGTATTTATGGATGGCCATAGTGTGCCAGTACGGAAATTCCTCTCATACTAGGAAACATCTGGGCAAATTTTATCTGTTGTATCTTTATTCTCATCTAAAGATGCCAGCAAATAGCCTAGTTACACAACTCTCCTGACAGTACAACATCAGTGGAGTCTGACACCCTAAACTGCCTGGATGATATATACAGTATTTATATATATACATACATACATACATAAATATGTATATATATGCATATATACAGTATATTATAATATATATAGTATATATATATATATATTATACACACACTGTTGCTCATAAAGTTGGAATAAAATATTTTTTACCTCTTTCCATGAAATTATTGTGACAATGTAATTTATTTCATTTCACTCTGGGGTAATCGGGACACATAATGTAATCATTGCACCTGGTCAAAAAATGATTACTGATGCATTTAAATAGGAATAAACAGAGGATTGTGTCTGAAAACAAAATCATTCCAAATTTATGGGCAACAGTGTATATATGCATATATATGATTTTTTAATCTGTCATGTTATCATTCAATGAAGCCAATAAAAATAGGCAATAGGACTGACAATAGGACAGTTTCTGCTCCCATTGCTGATCTTAGTGTGATGGACAGATCTATTGTCGCAGGAGGTATGTGAACGTTTTGCTTCGGAGTGCACTCTGTTGACCTCCTCTCTGCCGTCCCCTACAGGTTGAGAGGAAAGCCTCTGGTTGCATGACAAGTGGTGAAGGAAATAAGATAATCTCTTTCACTCTCTTGCCTTTCTCTCACTGACATGGTTCTTAAATTGTTTCATGTTGTTTTTCCTGATCCTGGTTGCCCTGGCAACGACTGTACTGTGAGCAGTGACCGCACGACAGGGGGCGGAGCTGTTAGGTGAGAAGCTTGTCAAGTAAAAACACACACACCGGCAGACACACAACACACACACACACAGGCACACGTGCACGCAAACACCCACACACACACACACACACACACACAACACACACACACACACCACACCACACAACACACACACACAACACACACAACATACACACGCACTCACAACACACATCACTCACACACACACACACACACACACACACACACACACACACACACACACACACACACACACACAAGCATTGCAGATCACATTGAGATCTGTTCATCAGGATCAAAGAATCAAAAACACCAAAATGGCCAGAAAGCGTGAAGTCAACCAGATCAAACGTGATGTGTGTTCTTTTACTTTTCTGAACACACACTCCTCGGTGGTGGGTACGAGCCCAGACAGACCCCCTTCTGAAAGCCTGCAGCCTATAATTATCCCCCCAGCTGTTTATAGCAAGGCATTTGACCTCTGACCTCTGATGCTCACACTTTTCATAATGACACCCAGCCACGCTAGAGTTCAACAGTCAGTGCTGAAGATAATGAGTGGGGTCATGTGCCTTGCACATAAATGCTAGGATGAGTCCCATTTTTTCCATAACTTGCATGTTTGGGAAACAATGAATATTTATGGAGAGTAATTATATGAGGATGCAGTGCTTGAAAACTCACTGAGACCTTGGTTGTCTCACCTTGCTGGTATTTACAGAGATGCAACCTTGAGGCTGAATTTTTGGAGGGGTTTATCTGTGACTTAGCACCCTCAGCTGGTGGCACTGAGTAAAATCTGATTTAGGAATCTACTAGTACAAACTGTGCTGCAAGTCTCTGCTCTGTGGCACTTTGACAGTAGTGTTGAGGAAGAGTTTTTCACACACACGCACACACATGCGCGCGCTCACACACACACACACACACACACACACACACACACACACACACACACACACACACACACACACACACACACACAAATCTTCCCAGCATGTCTTGAGACCTTCAGTCTTTGGGGCTCTGTTGCCTGCTCATGATAATCATGGTTTAAATTGTCATGCTGCTTTCAAAAACCTGGGCAGGAGGAGAAACATGCAGTTATCATCCCTATTCAGCCACCAGTACAATTCCCTTGATCAAGAAATAAGAGCCCCAACTGATCTAATCAAGCTGTTCATTGCTACCACTGTAATATCAGATTTACTTTGCACACTTCAGTTGAACTATACAATGAGGAACCATCAGTGCCCGTACAGTGAGTACAGTTTTGTGTCCGGTGGACAAACAACCAAATACAGTGCTGCTGATCCTGTTTGAATGTTCCACAATCACCAAAGCGCAAGACGTGTGAATCTGATTGAACTACTACAACTTTACTCACTCTTACATAGTGGTGACCTGGAACAGGACGATCTATGCTCATGCTAATGCAGCATTCACATCATAAACCATAAACACAAGCAGCCAGTGTCAACAAACTGGTGCCTCACCTTTACCTTTGTCAGGTTTGTAATGTTGACCCTTTTCAATTTGATGACCCTTTGACAAAAAAAAAAATCAAAATTTAAAAAGTTCAAATTTAGATTTAGACAAACCTTTATTAAGCAATGACTTGATGAAAAATTAAAAATGTTCAAGCTGCCTTCCTTCTTCATGTCCATCATATTTCTGATCAACTCTGGTGAATGTAAGTATGAAAATATGTGCTAAACTTCCCATGAAACTGCTCCCGTCGGACCATATTTCTTATACAGAATACTTTATGTTCACAGTCAACTTGCCTGATGATATATGAGCTATAAAAAAAATATATAAAAAAAATATTTTTTTAGAATCACTTTTTGAAACTGACCTTTACCATTCCATACATTCATTTTATCATTTTAAGTTACTGTTACTTAAGTTACTGTCAGAAGATTGGATGTCTTGTATATGTAACATTTCTTTTTAGATTATATTTTGAACATATTGCTGAAGTAAATGTTTTTTTTTATCATACTTGAACTTGACAGTTGTTTAATTGCAACAATACTTCAGGCATTGCTGTTTTTGTCCAACAGTAGCCTACAACATTGGGATTGTCCATACTCATGAATCTCATGAATTCATTTCTGAAGATGCCTCAGACTAGAGAGAAGCTGCAGAGCTCAGACTTGTGGGCTGGATACTGCAGACAGGTGCGGGGAGGCACTCAGTGCGGGTCCTGGGTCTTTGTACCAACGCCCTGCAGGCAAACTGTCAGTGGCTGCAGAGCCTCCATCGACAGACTCAGGAACAGGAAGAGATGTAGACGATAAAGTCCATCGTTTGAAGTGGTTCAGCTCAGAGGCACAGCTCAGAGACTCAGACATAAAGGCTCACACTGCGTCTTTCTCACTCTTATGTCCTGCACGCACACCTCTTACTCACACCACGGCATGTGAACGGCAGCAAGATGGCGCTCACAGAGAGATTGGGGTCCAACTTCTGATTTTCTAATCTTTGAATCTCTCTGTTTTACGGCCTGTGGCAGTGTTGAGAATGAAACCAAGGGTCCTTGCCCAGTTCATCCCAGCTGTGACTTTAGGAATTATTTACATGTTGGCACTTTGTCCACCAACAATCCTTTATCAATGAAGAAAAGAGTCAAGGTTGGTGATTGTTTCACTGGGTTTGAGTGTCTTTTACTGGGACTGGGAAGTCAAATGTCAAGTATTGAGCATGACATCTCCCTGTCCAGAGCCCCACTCTACAAAATCCACTTCCCCGCTGGATTGAGGAGGACTGTCCAGAGAGATACTGCGCCGCTCCCCAAACACTTTTTCCTGCAGTTCAATTATGTCATTGCGGATGTCGGCCATCATGAGCAGAAGGAAGTCGAAAGAGCCAGGTGGTCCCTGGAGACGGATGGGAAATTGAGAAATTGATTAAGGTGCCTTGCATTTTGCAAAATTGCAAAAAAAAAACACATTAATGTCTTGTATAAATTGAACTGTGATAGACTGATTACACTAATTAGCTACAAAAAAAAATAGAAGAAAAGAACTAATTGAAAAGAACTAGAAGAAAACTCTTGATCTGGGAAAGAAAACATGGCCAGTATGGCAGCAAAGAACAGTTCAAATCCAAACTAAACCACATATAAGATATGCATTATGTATATGTTGGATAGGTGACTATTAATAGACTAGCAGATTGTTAAATGGAGGTACAATTTCAAGGTATACATAGATGTAATGTCCATTCTAAAATAGGTGTGTAAATTGTCTACAGTTACATTATGTAGATGAAGATATGGAGGCTGTTTTTACAGTATAAAATGTATTTGTTTGCATTTGTAAATTAGTGAAGAATGTGTTTAATACATAAAATAAACTTACAGGGGGACCTCTGGGACCTGGAGCTCCTCTGTCACCCTGTAGATGAGAAACAGCACAAATTAACCCAGTTTCAATACAGCTGTCTGAGACTGGAACTAAAGTTACAGTGTAGCATCATATATGCACAGAGCACCAGCAGTGAGTCTGAGTGCCACAATGAAGACAGTGACAGCAAACCAAGTGGTTTCAAATAAATATCATTATCTATTTGCAGGCATTAACAGAGTTTGTGCAATACAATATAATCTTTGTCAATGTATCTTCCGGGAAGGAGGACCCAAAGAAACAGGAACCATGACAAAGTTAGCTTCAGTGGAGTCTATTCACTCAGTGACACATGTTTGAAGGTATTTCAGACACTAGATGGCGACAGTGTAGCTCCACACAAGCATTAAGCAGACACAACTACAGTCAAGAATTCCAAACACATAAAGAAAATAAAGATAATATAATGACCTTTATTCCATCTCTTCCTGCTGCCCCAGGTGGTCCCTGTATGAATGATAAGACATGGGTATAAGATGTTCTGCAAGCTTTTCAAAAACAACACCTGCAGACTGCTTTCAGCTGAGGAACCCACAGTGAGCGAGTCAAAGAAATAGCTGTCATGGTCACATTATGAGGAGAAATAAGCCTTCGTGGTGCAGACCAGTGGATATACTTGGTTCATGTATGATGTTACAAATGTAGAGCAGTGGGTTTATTTTCCTTTAGAGCAAAAGTGTCCTGCTGAAGAGATGCTCATACAGAAATTATGGCATGTGGTTTATTATTATCATGATTATTAACACTACTGCTGGTTGCTGTCAATTCAGGTGTGTCGGTTGCAGGGTCCTGGTATTGGTCCCACTCGGCCCAAAGACTTTACACTGGGATGATTTGACTCATATAAAATGAACTTTTATAGCCAATGGGAAAGTTTTATAAGTATAAAACCTTCATGGTTTAAAAAGTCATAATAGTAGTATTTGACCTTGTCTTGTCTACAGTTCAGTAGACAAGACAGTTCAGAAATCTCTTTTAAGATGGTTTTTGGGCCACTGGGACAAATATAAAGCAAGGCTGAGAGGCAGCGCCGCATCCAGGTCCCTGAATACACCCGTGTACGTTTAAGTTTCATGGGAACTGTACGTGGTGTCATGTGTACTGTGACTGCACAGTTGACATATACTAGTTTACGCACTTGTCATAGTTATTGATCAGCAGGCCAAAGAGCTACCAAGTGAGTTACTGCTATGACACAGTTTAGTGAAAGTTTGTAGCAAGTAGCCTAATCGACAAGGGACAATATGATTTTAGTGTTTTTTTGTTTGTTTGTGTTCGTCATAATTTTATGGTTTGCTGTTGTGTTGTGATCTCCAGGTTACAGGACAGTTTTCTTTATGTCACTATGACAACCTGGACTAGAGGATCCGAAGGGAACTAAACCTTGTGATAACGTCTGAGTTATAGAACCAGGAGGTTTTTCTTACCACTGGCCCCCTGCGGCCTCTCTTCATATGCTTCGGGTCAGGCTCTGGACCCATGGGCCCCATGTCTCCCCGTGGACCCCGAGGACCAGGTGGGCCCCTCTCCCCCGGGTCTCCTGTGTTTCCTGGTTCTCCTGGGTGTCCTGGTGAGGACAGATGGTTCAAGTGAAAGATGTTTGGTGAGTGATTGACATCAGACGAATACATAACATAACAGCAATATCATAATAGAAAATAGTAAGCTCCTCAGATGGGTCATTGAAACCCTGCTCACTTTAAAGCTCTGGTTTTAGAAATGAAATCTAAAATTAAACTTAAAGGTGACTAAAACTCACCTGAGATGAGTTTTCAACTTGCCTGTATGTTTGCTTGCTTTTACTGACAATTTTTTTTTATAACATCTTTAAATTATTTTGTGTATGGCATTTTCTTTTCTTTTATTGTTTTCTTTTCTATTCATTTTTTTCTTCCACTTTCCCTTCTTCTTTCTTTGGTGTTTTAGCATGGTGATGTGATTGTAACAAACACAAACACTGAGTGCACTTGTCAATAACTGTCCCAGCACGAATCTGGAACCAGAGGTGGATTTGAGTCTGTGTCTATCTTTTCACTTGTCTCGATATTACCTGGTACCCCAGGGGCTCCTGGAGGGCCGGGGAGACCAGGAAGACAAGGGCTGTCGGAACTTTTTCCTGCCCTCCCCAGGGATGGCTTGTCACTGCTGTTAGCCAGGCCAGGTACCTACAAACGCAAGAGGAAAGGCTAAGTAGCATAAATACAGATAAAAGGTGTGTGTAGTTTACTGAAATATTAGCACTTGGACCCCAATCTAAAAATTAACTTTTTGGAAATATAAATTCTTGCTCACTTTGCATCCATTACAATTTACATAAAATTATAACTGAAGTAAATGTTGAGACACAGAGTTTAGTTTTACAGTTGACTGTGATGTTTCTGCTTTGCAATGTTTTCCTAGCTAAAACAATGTGGTCCAGTTGTGTATAGAGTAAACATGTTACCTGGTTTGGTGACGGTGTGTTGCCCAGCCTCAGTTTAAGCTGTAGCAAACTGTTTTTCATGTTCATAAAATCCTGACAGGTGAATGAGCAAGTACCAGCGCTCATCAAGGTGTCTGACTTCCCTGATGAACTCACTGCAAGACGAAACATTTAGATATGAAATTCTTTACATATAAATTCAGGCCAGACATCCATTGCTATTTTTCCCTCTATCCAATCTACACACGCATTTATAAACAGGAGATTCTCAGTCACTGCTTGATGATTATACTGAAAAAACATAAATCACAGGTCGTGTCATTACACTCATGAATTAAAATTTAAAAGCTGACCCATGTTCATCTTAGTTTTGATATATCATAGTTTGTCCTCTGCTGATACTGACATTAGCTACAAACCTGGACTGACTTCAGGCAGGTGGAAGGAAAAGGATAAATTCATTAAGCTCATGCATCTTATCTTGTGTAGGCCTAACACCTTCCCAGTGCAAAGACGCTGACTCAAATCTGCAGCTGATAACTTGGTGACCACCGCAGGGCATAGGAACTTACAATTGTGCACGGGGATGCAGGAGCGTTGGTCCGGTGCCAGTATGTAGCCAGTGTGACAGCGACACAGGAAGCTGCCCACCGTGTTCACACACTCGTGGTCACACACGCTGCCTCCTGAGTGCTCACACTCATCAATGTCTGTATGAGATGATCAAAATCCAAATTTGGAGGTTACTGTAAAATGAAAGCTGTTCGTGCAATGACACAAAGTGAAATGAAAGTTGAAGAGAAAGCGAGCAAGAGCTAAAGATTGAAGATGCTACGGTTCATCTATCATGTTGACATTAACACGTCAGTACAGATTAGCTCTGAGATGTTCTCTGTCCTATCAGGTGAGATTTTTGTGGAAGCTGTTCATCCTCACTCCTTGGACATAGGTTTCTTATAGGTTTCTTTCATAATTTGGGAATTGTTCAGCCCTTTGTCTTATCTTTGAGCTATGTATAATAACTCCACATGATATTTTACATCATGTGTCACTGTGGTGCAGGTTTGGTCAGATATCTGCTGAGTAATTTTCCAGTTAATAAAAATACTGATGCGGTTTGAAGAAGCAAAGAGGAAGTTTTTGAAGTGGGAGGGTGAGACATATACCAAATCAGTAATAGACATGGGGGTGGGTTGGGTGGGGTACTGACCCAGACAGTAAGGCGATTTGTGGTTGCGGTGTCTTTCTCGGTCGAAGCGATAGCCGGGGTAACACGTGCAGACAACTCGCCCAAAGTTGTCGGTGCACTGCTGCTCGCAGGGGGATGCAGCACACACATCTACGCCTACAGAGAGAGGGGGAGAGAGAAATCATTAGAGTTATTCAGGATCACTGTCTGAAAACCAAAATCACCCATGAACACTTTTGCTCTTTATGACCACCACCTCCTTCCATTCATAAAGTTCCACATCCACAAGTGGGAACTGCCCAGCACAGCTACAGGTCCTGGGTCACTGTCATGATGTCATGTCATGTCTATGACAGGTCAAAAGCTGTGTCCGAAACCACTACCCCGTTCACTCTTTCACTGCTCCCTGGTGAGTTAACACTCAGCAGTTTACTCTATAGTGAGCAGTAAATTGAGATGTGTAATACTTATGAATCATCATATTTTCATCATATCATCACTGACAGGTTTAGGGTCGCACAACTGTATTTGCATTCATGAGATGCTGTGCATTACATTGTGGGACTGTTGGCAGAAGGTTGTCTGCACTCATGGCCACAGTTTTATATAGTGATTGTGATGTGAAATTTCACACTCATTTTGGATAGTCAAATAAAATGACAAAGGGTAAACATTGTGCACTATATAGCAATATATATATGTCCAATAATTTTGCTATGAAACAGGCCATGTAATGACTGGACTGCCACACCTGAATTAAATTAAATGGGAAACACAGAGCAGAACTGAGGCCTTTTCACTCTATGTGATATATACAGCTCATAGATACACAAATGCATCAGTTGAACAGCCCATCAAGGTGCTATTCATTGGGGAACATTGTCCTCTAGTGGCCAATGTAAATCACTGTTAGTCTTTGGAGGCATACTACAGTGTATTTCAAGTATCGACACTAAACTTACTGTTCACCAGTGTAACCAATCCTTATTACGTAAGTCCAATTAGAACTATAACCAGATTTTTTATGGGGATGACTACAACAAAATGTGGCAGCTGTCTGTGCCAAAACTGTGGGCATTTTCTTTTTTGGCTGTTACGTTGTTTGTCCCATTTATGCACTGCAACGTGCAAGTTATCTGAAAAGACGCCTTGAATATAATTACTCCAATTACTCAATAGGTCAAGCATAATACCCACATTATCTGGACTTCTTTGACAAACGTGGTCTCCATATCGTGTTGTTCTAATTTAGAAAATGCTCAATTTGAAGTATATCATATTAGGACCCTGTGAAGCTCATGAGTCAAATTAAGAGGACAGTGTGTATGGTTTACCTACTTTCAGGTATGCACTGGCCCATCACAAACCTGAATCCTTCACAGCATTTCCTCCTGAAAAAAACACAGAGACAGTGATCACATGTTTGTATTTCAACCACCATTTTCAATATGCTTATTTGCCCCCTTGAGAATACTGATACCAATCTCATAACTATCCAGAAAATATGAAGCTGCAGTCTGTTAGCTTAGCTCAGCAGAAAAACTGGAAACCGGGAGGAACAGTCAGTCTGGATTTGTCTGAAGGTAACAAAATCCACCTGCCATCACCTCTGAAGTTCACTAACTAGGCCGTTCAATCTTGATTGTTTTATCGATACAAAAACTGAAGAGCAAAACTCGTCATCAAACAGACTATACACCAGGGGTGGGCAGCCTGTGACACCCACACCAGCAGTGCAGGTGCTTTAAAGGAGATCACCCTGCACCAACCTGCTCACAAGATGGGGAGAATATCTTGCAGGCCTTTCTAGCTCAGTAGGACAAAAGAGTTTGGGTTTGTTACATGGGGAGACCAGGGCTATAGGTGCATTTAGCTGTCTCAAATGTAAATCATCTCTTTCACACAAGAGACACATTTAAAATACTGCGTGCATCCACAAATCAGGCCATAGAAGCCAGCTCTAAAATTTCTCATTATATTCCTAAATATATGGGAAACCATACAGAGAAACATAAATGAGGCTTTTGTCCACAATGAAAAGGCTTTGCTTGATGAACTGTCGAACAAAGACACCATCATATCCAGGATTTAAGTCACTGACGCGCGCCACATTACTGAAATGGTGGAAAATGTACACGTCCAGCAAACTGTTGAAAGGTCATTCAGCAGCTGAAGAGTATTGACATACAGACCAGACCTAGAGAAGCAGCAAAATGCAGAGACAGTGATCACAGTAATTGGTAAGCCCAGTTAATATTTTACTTATTAGTAGCCATCATCACAACAAGGTAACTGAGTGAGGAGATCCTGCACAGATAACAGGCCTGCAACTCTATTATCATAGTACACAGTCAAAAATAAATGACATGCAATCAAATCATTTTTGTGGTCATTTCTGCACCACAGCCAGTTTGTATATTACATAGTTACTGCAAACACTGCAGCTCCTGACACATTAAGGCACTACTTATTCTGATTTGGCATATTTCTCTTTTTGCTCCCTATACAGTACTTGAACTCTGACCAAATAAACAACCAAAAACCATTACTTAAACTCAAAGTTTTGACTCTTTTGCAGTCCCTGCTTTTGTGGATGTAGAATTTTTTGAATTACAGCGTTGTGCAATGGATACTGGGCAACAATTTCTCCCAAAATTGATTTATGGTGTTTGGCAATGACACTCATCCAGCATTCCCACAACAATCCACCACATGTTACAGACATTACAGTTGGAAAAACAGAGAGGAAATGGCTCAGAAAGTGGAGTAGCACAGCCACGCAACAAATATCACACACACACACACACACACACACACACACACACACACACACACACACACACACACACACACACACATACACACACAACCTTGGAGAAAAAGGGGAAGAAATGCAAAAGTCCTAAAAACTGCATGCTGTTACCGGAGGGGGCGTAGCATGCTGCCTCATTCACAGCCCCCTCAAGACAACAAGTTGCTTTTATTCTCCTCCAGCCTCCATGCAGTGTAACCCTAAATCACTCTGAGATGCCCCCCGCCCCCACCCCAACCCCCACCCCCTCCTTCTCCTGAATGAAAAATAACCTATAAAACGGTGAGGCTGGCCCAAACTGATGAGATCCAGATGAGAGCAGCTTTAATCTGCAGCCTGTAGCCGCAGAGTGTTGAGAGGGATGGATAGGGCCGGGTATGGAGCTGAGGTGGAGACAGGAGAGTGAATGCTGAGACGAACATCGTCACTCATTCCGTCTGTCAGTCTGACAATCAATCCATCAATCAATCAATCAGTCGGTCGTCTAAATTGGGATAATGTGTTGCAGATGCAGCTTTGTTCTGGAGGGGAACTCCATAAGTTTATATCTTTGCTGCCAGACTGATAGAGGTGCTGAATCTGACCTCTTTGTTTCTTTTTGAATGTCATTATCATTATCATTATCCTCTAGCAGTGCTGGGTAGATAGGGTACACTCAGTTACAATGTTCAATTTTCAGTACCACAGCAAACTCTGGCCACGTTACCTTTGATAAAAAAATGGCTTTAACAAGTTACACACAGTGACAATAACATATTTTAACAATGGGAAGAAGAGCGCACCAGGTCCTGAGAAATACCGGAATTAGTTGTATCAGGGCATCTCTATTGAAAGCAGGTGTTTTATTGCAAAATAACTAACAGATCTCATTACCCTTTAGCCGGATTAAGTCTTTTAGAGGACAGATTCGGATTTAATGGCAGTTCCGATATAAATTTTTTGCAGCTGAGTATTTGCAGTACAACTATTGAACGTTGCTGAATTCAGTGATTCATTTTAAGCAATGGGATCATGTAATATGAGGTAATAAAATACCTGTTGTTCTCTCAGTTTAGACATACAGTCTAATGTCAGAACTAATCTGTAAACGTCTGTGTTTGAATCTGAAGAAGACACACGTCATGTCATCCCAGCATCTTGTTCTGCTTCATAACTCAAGTCTTCATTAACAGACATTGTATTTGATGATTTAAACCAACATTTGTTCTTATGACTTTATTCATTTCTATTACTGACAGGTTAGTGAGGGTAGAAAAAAACACAGAAACATGGTACACAGCCAAGGATAGAAAAAAGGGCCGGGGTGTGTGCAACTACTCAAAGCCGAGCAAGTACCAACAAAGTAGACTGATGAGTTTAAAAGAAGATAGACATTTATTTATCTGTATAGTACAGGTAATTTAACAACACTAAAGTTTTCAGCAGAACTGCTTCTCAAACAGTCAAACAGCCTCATAAACCCTCTCGCCCTCACCTTTCTGACGTCAGAATAGAGGCAGCTGCGTCCGACAATTCCTCTAACCTATACCCACAAGTAAGCACATGATGCAGTGACGGACGAGGTGTGTGTAGGGGAAGGAACTATTTCTCTCACTTTTCATGTGACCGAGCGAACGCAACACTATGAACCTCCTCCAGGAGAGACTGACAACGTGTGGCGTTATCTCCATCTTTAAACGATATCACATCTCCTCCCTCTATGACGGCCGTCTTTTAATAAGTGTGGCCGTTCAGAACGGCTATAAACACTTTTGCCCTCAGACGTGGTCACCCAGCTGAATGTATGAATGAATTGTTTTCAGGCATGACATGAGCCCAAGAGTCTACGGCCACGCTAGCTGTGTAATACAGTTCATCCTGAATCCCATGAGTCCCACGAGTTAAAAAGATGTAAACCTGGTGGCACTGTAGAAACAGAAACAGAGCAAAACTGACAACCCAGGACAGAGTGCAGCAGAGGGTAACAGTATCTAAATCACAGGACAGGACAGGACCAGAACAGCAGCAGTGAAAGCCATGTTATCTCCCTACAACACCCTCCACACCCCCCCTCCACATCAACATACGGCAACAGGCCTCAGCAGCTCTCCCCTGGGTGTTCCTGACAGACAGCACAGGGGAGGCCGGGGTGTCTGGACAAGCAGATGAGGACGGAGGGAGAAGTGACCCGTGTGTTTTTGTTTGGGAATGTGAAAGTATGTTGGTCAGACTGGCAACAGGCTCGGTCAACATGACTCTAAAACACAGACCATTACACATTACACTACGATGACCTGTGTGTGTCTGTGTGTGTGTGGGTGTGTGTGTGTGTGTGTGTGTGTCTGATGGGAATACACATCTGTTTCTTTTGTCAGTGCAATAGTTTCAGAAGTTGTAGTGGTGTTATTACGGCTATCGGCAGCCTTGATTAAAAAATGTACAAACCCCAAGACTAGACTAACTGTGTGTGTGTGTTCATGTCTGTGATTCTACATCTGTACATACAGCATGCGTGTGAGTGGGAGTCTGTGTGAGGGCTGGGATACCATCCAGTAATTGGGTACAGCCTTTTAATGTCAGTCAGGGCTTATTAGCGAGAGCGATCCATGATGCTAGCAGGCTCCGTCTCCTCCTCTCTCCTTTTTCATGTCCCCTCCATGCACTTTTACTTCACTCACCCTACATCTTTCCTGTGATTTGAAACATGTCAGTGTATATTCAGGCCGTTCTTTCAGCCTCTTGTTTCACAGTGTTGCTCCACTGGTTCACTAGTTGTTGACATAATCTCTGTCTCTCTCCCTTCTCCTCAGACTGACATGTTGTTGGCCTCACCGTTGCCCTCTGTTCATGAAACCTGATGAGGTGTCTGCTTTTTCCATCTTTATTTCATTCACAGGGATATTTTTCTGTCCTCTTAAGATTTGCCGAGGCCAGGAGTGCTCAAAGCCTTTAACAGCCACTTTTACATTACAGCACTAAACAGGAATATCTGTATGCTAGACTTCAAGTGTTGATTTCCCAGGATGAAAAACTCTTTCTTTGTATAAACGCTGTAAACAAAGTTTGACTGAGGGACAGCAATCACTACCTGGAGAATTTAACCTGATGCTACAGTGTTTGATCCCCTGACCCTTAAATCTGAAAAAAAATAAAATTAATTTTGGTTTATGACGAAATACCTGCACATCAGCTGTAGTTTCAGTTTTACTGCTAATGTTAGAAAACACTGTGCCTGCTAAAACACTGGCACCTTAGCATTGACATTGTGAGCATGTTAGCATGTTGATGTGTTTTTAAGTTTAAATCTTAAAACCTACATGTTTTCATAGGCTTTTGTGTGTCCCTAAGGTTTTTATCTTTCACTTTTATCTATTATTTTTAATTCAAACCGTTCCATGTCTGTCTCAGACCATGATATAATTAACATATCACATTTGAACTATTTCTATGTTTTGTGTTTCTTGTTGTATTTTATTGCACAGCACTAAGGTTGCTTTAAATTAGCTTTATAAATAAACTTGATTTGTTTTGATGTTAGCATTTAGCCTCACGGGACAGCTAGCATGGCTGCAGATGGTAATGCTGTGGATACCTCAAGCT